AATTATAAATATAATCGTTGTTGAATTAAAAAAAAGAAGAAAAAAAATTTTTGCTTCTTTTAAACCGCTGTCACCACTTGTTATGCTTTGATTTGCACTGAATCTTAAGGACGTTCGAGTTCATTTTTATTGAAGCATAACTGACCGTTTTTATTTCTCTTTCACAAAAATATATATATAACAAAAAGAATACAAGAAAAGAAAGAGACAATCACGAACACGAAAGAGTTATAACTGTATGAATAGATGGCAGGATATAACAATGAAATTAATTCTTTGGACAAGCTGTAACTTTTTTAGTTCTTTTTTTTCTACCCTGAAATATTGAATATTCGATATTTTCCATATTAACGAATCTCTTTAAGAACTTTATTCGCGCAAACTGTAAAGTCGAAATTCTATTTTCTAGATGATTTGAGGCGGACTACATGTTTATATGCTGAAAGATTCAGTAAAATTTCAATATATGGAGAACGAAGGTTCGGAATAACAATACTTCGACAGTCAACTTTTCTTATTCTCATCGGATGTTTGTTCTTCGATGGATAGAAAAGTTCCTGATAAGCTTTTATTTAAAAATTGATCTCATCATTTCATATCTAAACTGAAAAGTAAGAGAAATTTTGATGATGTCTTGGATAATGTTCGATGATCAACTTTGTTGAGGAATTATATTGAACATCTGATTATATACTGCTTTTGCAGATTGTGACTGTCCAAAATGAGAAAAACAGCTCCGTGATGGCACGTAACTTGAAGCGTTTTTTCTTCGTGGGCAACCATAGATCAGGATCACTAAATTCATATTTTAGAAAACTAAAATTTGTAAAAATCAGAATCTCTCCTGTCAAGTCTTACAACAAAGTAATTCTTCCTATTTTAGATATTTAATAGAGAAAATAGTGAATTTCGAAAATACAGTTTATTAAAATTTCAGATGATTTTGTTTTTGAAAATCTGTACTGATGAGTTATTTCTAATTCAATCTTTCTGTAATACAAGCAGATGTTTGAAACAACCCCAAACTGAAATCAATACAAAACTTTCATGTGGCTCATTTTTTCTTTTATTTTAGCTAAAAGTTATTCAACTCAAAACCTAACTCTATATCATGAAGTTAGTTCTACAAAATCCTTTATCTAATCACATATTCACATAGCAGAAGAAAGACTGAAAATCTGTTGCATCACTAATTTAGACAAGTTATGAATGACGAAAATACTGATTTTGTTCTGTACAAACATCAATTAATGCAAGTTTAACTCAGCAATACATAAAGGAATAATTAGCATCAAGGCTTTTGTATTTTATGTTATCTTGATAACTTTAGAGATGATTATAGAATTCTGTAGAATTGTATGAATTGTTCATCTATTAAATTTTCATTCGGACTTCAATACAGTTAGTTTTGAGTTACTTTAAAAGTAATTCAGTAGAAGTCGCGTTTACTTTCCTCGTAGCTACGCTCACTGAATCAAACCATAGTTCTTATTTCGTTCGTTTCTCTCATGATTTAATAAATCACTAAAGTCAAAACAAAGAAAAAAAACCAATCAGAATATTCGGTCAAACTACTATTTCATAATTTTTTATAAAACAAACTTAAAAGATTAATTATTCAAAATGTAATCAATATCAATAGATAGACAACAAGAAAGAATAAATAATGTGTTTGAAAGTTTTGACTTGATAGTAAATGAGATATCACGACGAGTTTCACTAGTAGATCAGAACTTTATGAGCACATGCATTTTCGATTCGTTTCAGTTGTTAAATGAGTCAAAATTTTCTGAATATTTTTAGTTTAATTATGAAAAATTCTCATTTGAAATACTTACTTGTCTTTTGATCATACATTCATTTGTTTACTTGAATCGAAACGATTCGACCATTCCTGTTCTAATAAATGAATTGAACAATTAATTTTTTTTTTGTTAAATATTTATTAGATTCTAAATTAAATAAAAAAAGTTCCACTTACTGGTTTCTTTTCTTTATGAAGACCACTAAAATTTAAACATATAATAAGTGAAGACTAAAATAAAAATTGAATATTACAGTTTTTTTTTGGTTTTGTTTTTAAGTTACTTTATCAGCTAAATATTGATCACCCGAAAATTGCTTTAGTTAACTGATGAAATTCATCGGTTTTATTATTTTTATGATGTTGAAATCAATGATAACGATGAAGATACATGTATGACTATCAATTGAACAAAGTATTCCAAATTGTTCAGTTTCTTTAATTAGAAAATTTTTTATTTAAATAAAAAATAGAGATTGTATCAATGCAACTCATTGAAGATTATAATGTAAAACTTACATGTATTCTTTAGTCTCATTATACTCATACAACATACTTGAAATGAAAAATTTGTACCAGACTATGAGGGATTAAGAGAAATTGAATTTTAGTCAATTTTGCTTTTAAAGTTACTATAATTTTCATATGTTTTCATTTATGAGTCTTTTAACTTCTTTTGAATGAGTCTCCTTCGCGATTCTCGAAAAGGATGTGGGTACTGGTATAGAGAAAACTATTTCAGAATTGAATCTTATCATATCTAAAAACGTCTTCAGTATTTTGTTTTTTTATTTATACGCTTAAAGTCGTAGAATATTTAACTATAACTTTCAGTTGCAGTTGGAACCACCGGTTTTTCTCATAGTTGCTACTATTAAAGTGAAAGTCTATAATGACCACATTCATAAATGATCACCAACAAGATGCCTTGAGAAAATTTGAAATAAATTCTAATGAGAATATTATGAATACGAATCTGACAAACTTCCAAATTTTCGTCTCACATAGCTTTAAAACTTAGATTCACTCTATTTTTCTTCAAAAAAGATGTGAGTTCCACAAAAAAAAAACAAAAACAATCAATAATAGTACCATCAATTGTTAATGATAATGGATTAATATCAAATAAACTTTGAATATCCATTAATTGAATAAGTATAATATGTTTTTATACCGAATGTTTTTCACATATGTTCAAGACAATCGAAGAAAAGAATAATGAATTAAATGTGTTCGTATTATTGTTAATTCTTGTAAAAGTTCAATAAATTAAAATTTTTCTGTATAATCACGATATGCACCAAGGAATTCTGACTAAAATTTAACAACAATATACTTAATACTGTCGGAATCAATATATGCTGTTGATATAGATTTAAGTAAACGCTGAATAGATCATATCATGATAATGCAACAAAATATTGTTTACCGAATTGAGTTTTATGTTTACGAATCTATTTGAAAATAGTTTTTATTTTGTTACATTATCTATTCAATAAAATAAAATAATCTTATGATAAGTATAACAACGAGTATTCATTTTTTTAAAAATCTAATGTATGAATCACTTCCATTGTTTTAGCATAAAATTTTCTAAAATCTATCAGAAAAAAACAAAAAATGTATATGAAAAATAATAGTCGAATTGATTAAAAAAAGTAGTTCATTCGAAAATGAAAGTAACGATCCGTATAGATGAGTCAATGTAATGCAAGAAAATTCAACTAGTTCATTACTGTTACAATCAAAATCCAATAACAGTGTCCGACAGTTTAGTACGAGAAGAATTTCATTATAGTCTACGAAAACTGAAATACATCAAATCTCGTTAGGCTCGATATATTTTTTTTCTAATGGTATTATTCGACTGATAAACAATAAGTAGAAAAAAATTTATGCTTTCTTTTTCAAAACTATTGTTTGATTATTGAGAAGTGAGTTCATATTCAGACTTTGCTATCGTATCGAACAACCAAACAATGTTTGTAGAAAAACTATACGTAGTTTTTTTCTTAAGTATACGACCAGTAAAGCTTTAGAAAAAATATCGAACTTGTGAGATTGAATTATTTTATAATATATATATATATTTTTTCTTTTTGTCTTTCTCTCGTCCATGAATCATTGTTCATGTTGTTATCATTGACGATGAATGATCAACATGTACAATTAAATATGTATATCAATTAACCTTTTTGAAATCAACTTTTAATTCATTTTCGACGAGAGAAAAAAAAATGATTTTTCAAGGTATATATACGAATGATTTTCTATGTAAAATCATTCAAATTTTTGAATCAAATAATAATCACTTTTCTTTTCTGTTTTAGACTGGCTTCAACCAAACACTATGAAACAATTCAAAAACAAACCAGACAATAAAATAAAATGTAGGTATTATTTTTATTTTTTTTTAATTTTACGATCATAAGGATGGTGGGGTAAGGCCTCCTTTGATCTTTTTATTATTATTATTTTTCTTTTATGGAATAAACAATGAAGAAAAAGATAACATTAGGGTAAGTCATCTCATTCTATTTCATTAAATAAAATTGATTAAATTTTTTTTTCTGTTCCTTTCAGCTATCAATATCATCGCGTCGTCAACATCAGACACGGTAAGTAATTTTTTTTTTTGAGATGAGAATAGGTAGTGAGATTGAGAGGTTAAGGTGAGACTAAGAAAAGTGAGTGTTAGTAGGAGATGAGGGTGAGTTCTGTCCGTTGAGGGTTAGGGTTTCGTATCTTACGAAGGACTTCCGAGTAGTCCCTAAAAGCCCGGCCAGGAATCGTCTTGGTGTCCGTGGCATACGACCAGGCTTATTCAGACTCATTGACATATCTCTCGAGTGGGAGGGGTACGAATGATATGAGTCTGTCCTGTGCGTGCATGAGCGGTACGCTCGCCACGGCTCCACCAGGATGATTTCCTGGTCACGCGCGCGCGAATAGAATAGACATTCATTTCATCAATTTAACGTGATTTATTTGAAAGGAAAGGAACGCAAAAAAAAGAATCCCTCAGTTTGAGTCTATTCGATTAGAAATCGTTGAACACGATGATTCTCCCAATCGACGACATAGAGATTGCCATGTCGATCGAAGGACAAACCGATTGGACCGTTGAACTGATTAGCTCCGTTTCCTACATCATTTCCACCGACAATGACAGTGCCCTGTTTCGCTCCTGTAGGCCAACGCATCACTCGACGATTCCCCGTGTCTGCCACATAAATGGTACCCAATGTATCGACGAACAGTCCTTGAGGATACGACAATTGTGTCAGAGCAGTTCCATTGCCTTGATCTCCAGCGACGACAATTCCTTCTTTTGCACCTTTATTCCATTTCACTACACGATGATTTTTCTTGTCTGACACGTAGACAGTCTGTTGTTGATCGACAAAGATGTAGGTCGGAAAGTTGAGTTGATTGAGACCAGCACCTTGGCCATTGCCACCAGCCACAATAGTTCCATTCTTGTCTCCTATTTTATATCGTCTAACTTCATGTTCGGTGGCGTCAGAGATGTAGAGATATCTCTGATCATCCATGGCCAATCCTGCACAAGTGATGTTGTCGATGAGGATTTCTCCTTGAGTTGTACCACTACGACGAGACCATCGTACGACACGTAGATTCCATTGATCACAAATAATGAGACTATCTGCTTCTTTGTCAATCAATACATCAGTTGGCCAATACAATTGATTCAATCGATTTCCTGGGCCATTGCCACCAGCTACTACTAGTCCATTCGTATCACCCACCTTCCATTGGATGATACGATGATTGTAGAAGTCAGCGATGATCATCGTTTGATCATCGTCAATGAAGAGACCCCAAGGCTCCCTGAGTTGATTGGTAGCACTGCCTTCTCCATGACCTCCAGCAACAGTCACTCCATTCTGTGCCCATCGGGCATCGACTGGAATATTGGGAATTACTACAATGAACAAAAAAGAAAAGAAATCGTCGTTGTCGAAGGGATTCCGTCTCTCATGGGAGCAAGCACTACAAATACGACATTCATCTTTGAGAATGCTCATTAGACAGATAAAAATTCAGAAGTCTTTTCCTAATTTCCTATGAGAAAAAAGGATTTTGTAACGATTCTGACATCTATGTCACTTCTAGTTCTTGCCAAGATCCTTTTGATCATAAAAAAAACATCTGAAGATTGCTGTAAGAAGGTCCTCGAAGAAAAAGTAATGCTAATTCTATGTGAGCTTTTGATAGAAAAACTTAAGGATATGGGGATTTTATTCAGAATTGCAAGAATTCAGAATCTTTTTGTCGAATGATCATTTATATGAACATCAGAGAAGATTTTATCTGTATCTTGTGAGAAGAATATCGAATCGTTGATCAACAAAATATCAAACCTAACCCCTATGTTTTTTATGAAACCTTAAGGATACATGATTTTCTGCATGATGAATGTAGATCTGCCGAAGAATCTCCTAAGCATTTGCATAGAGAATGCCGGTGAAATTTTATAAGACTTTTGGTAAGTTATGTCAAGCTGTTCGAAGAACAACCGTGATGTACTCTGAGTAAGATCATGAGAAGGCTTAGATACAGGCGAAACTGAACAAAGTTGAGAGGATTCCACGCGAATCTATGTAATCTGAAGGGACTTCTTCTTTTGCAAATGCTGAAAGGATGGATGCCAATTCTAATGGAGCTCTCCAGTGAAAAACATTGGGATTTATGGATTTTATGCGCTTTGGAAAAGGCCGTCGTAAGGGGATAGGCAGAAAGTGTTCTAAAATGCTATTATTAACTTTTGATGAAAACCATCTTTAGACCATTGTATAAGGGTCCTCGAAGAGAACCTTGATGACTAAATAAGATACTCTGTCAAAATCTGAAAATCTAAAAATAATGAGTATCTTCTATGAAGATCATGTTATAATCCTTATGTAGTACTTGTTCTGAGAAGTCTTCTGTAAGCTCGCATGTTATGGATATGTTCAGGAGGATCTGAAGAGTAAGTATTTTGAAATGGTTGATATCAGGGATGGGCAATTGCAAGTCCAAAGTTGATGCTTTTTCTCATCAGAGTGAAAATGGAGTAGGAACAGGACAGAATGGAGGTGCCTATCTTTGAATTTTATGAGAAAGTTTATAAAGTAGTAAATTAATGTGCTACTAATTGATATCAATTATAGATTTAATTATGTTCAAAAACTTATGTGTATTTAAGAGTGTTTTGACAGAAGTTCAATTTTCTAAAATCCTAATGAAATTGAAGTTAAATTGAAGTTGGAATAGGATTTTAGGAAAAAGGAGTGGAATGGTATGGGGTTGGAGTGAAACACACTGCAGTTCAAATTGATGTGGAGTTTTAGAAAATAGGACTGGAGTTATGTGGAGTTGGAGCGGGACATAGTGTAGTTGCTTATCTCTTTTTAATAGACAAATGTCGATCCTAATCAGCATCCATGACGCCTTCTCTGGAATATTGAGAATTACTACAATGGACAAAAAAGAAAACCGATCGTCATTGTCAAAGAGACCCTCTCTCTCACACGGGGAAAAGAGCTATAAAGGAGACATCCGTCTTTTTTGAAGAGAATTTAGTAAAACTTTCGAGAATGTTCTTGCCTCATATTAAAAGTCAGAAATCTTTTCCTAGTTTCCTATGAGAAAAAAAGGATTCGGTAACGATTCTTACATTTATGTCGCTTTTAGTTCTTGCCAAAATCTTTTTGATCCTAATAACAACATCTGGAGAATGCTGTAAGGAGATTTGTCCAAGAAAGAGTAATGCTAATTCCATGCAGGCTTTTGATAGAAAAACATAGAGATCTGTGGATTTTATTCGGAGTTGCGAGAATGCAGAATCTTTTGTGGGATGATCATTTATATGACTTTCAGACAAGAATTTAAGTAATGAAATAAAGAACTATGTGAAACTCCTAAACTGAGATAATCCTGAGAAGATTCTATTTGCATCCTGTTAAGAGGATATTGAATCGTTGGACAGCACATGTCAAACCTAATCCCTATGTTTTTGGGGAACTTTGAACATTCAGTATGCATCTTTGATGATGCTTTTCACATGGTTCAACACAAATCCAGATCACATGATTTTCTGGATGATGAATGCAAACCAGTGGAAGGGTATCCTAAACATTGGAATGGCAGATGCAAATGAGATTTTATCAAGCTTTTGTCAAGTTATGTCAAGCTCCTCGAAGAATGATCCTGATAGAATCTTAGTTAGATCCTATTGAAGGTTTGATGCATACGAAACTGAGTGAATTTGAGAGAATTTCACGCAGATCTTTAGAAACTGATGCCGTCTACTTTTGAGATGCTGAAGGGTGGGTCTGAATGGAATAGTCAGATAGTGTTCTACAAAGCTATTATTAATTTTTCCTGAAAATTAGCTGCAAACCATGTATTAGGATCTTAAAGGAGAATCTTAATGACTAAATAATATACTCTGTCAAAATCGAAAATTCTAAAAATCATGAGTACATTCTATCAGAATCATGTTATAATTCTTATGTACTATTTGTTCTGAGCAGCCTTCTTGAAGTTAACATGTCATGGGTATGATCACGAGGATGTCAAGAATCAGGATTTAGGAATCGTTGATAGTAGTGATGGATAACTCCAACTCCGAAGTTGGTGCTTTTTCTCATTGGAGTTCGAATGGAATTTCGGAAAATAGGAGTTGAGTTGCCCATTTCTGGGTTTCATGCGAAAGCCTATAAAGAAATATCCAATAGGAATGGGAGTTCAGAAAATAGAACTGGAGTTGTGTGTGCAATTGGAGCGGGACTTAGTGAAGTTGGCCATCGCCACTTAACACACAAATGTTGTCATCGTGGTTGTCGAAGAGATCCCCTCTCTCGTGAGAGTAAGAGCTACAAATACAACATTCGTCTTTGAGAATGTTCTTTCCACATATAAAAATTTCGAAGTTTTTTCCTAGTTTCCTATGAAAAAAAAGAATTTCATAACAATTCTTACATCTATGTCACTTCTAGAGTTTGTCAACATCATGTAGATCCTAAAATGTCGAATCTTCGCGGTGGATGAAAACTGTAACGAGAGATCGGTGTAAGGAAGCTTTTCGAGAATGAGCAGTGTTTATGGAATGCAAGCTTTCGATAGGAAAAAATAGGAGTCTGAGAATTTGATTCATAATTTTGAATCCAGAATCTTTTGCAGAATGATCATTTATATGAATATTAGACAAGAATTTAAGCAATAAAATAATGAACTATGTGAAACTCCTAAACTGAAAAAATCCTTAAAAGGTTCTATCTACATCTTGATAGAAGGATGTCGAATCCTTGGACCAGAAATGTCAAACCTAATCCTTATGTTTTTGGGGAATCTTAAATATTCAATATGTTGATAGGATCTTAGCAAGATCATAAGAAGGTATGTATGCATGCAAATCTGAGTAAATTTGACAGGACTCGATGGGAATCTTTGGAATCTGACGCCTTCTACTTTTTGAAATACTCAGAAGACTAATGTTAATCTTATCACCGCTCTCCATAGGGAAAGATAAGGACTTAGTTAGCTTTCTACAGGCACGAGCTGAAGATATTCTTTTTGTGACTTGGAAAGCAGGGGCTCACTTAGAAAGGTCAAAAGGATAACGGTAAGATATTATCAGAGTTTCGATAAGATTTGATACAAAGCATTGTCTGAAAATGCTAGAAAGGTTTCTATGAATTCGAGACAAGAATCTTTGCTAAAAAATAAAGAATAGTGTCAGAATCCAAAGCTGAAAAAAATACTCAGGTGTTATTTGCATCTTATTAGAATGTTGATGCTAAATATTTGAGCTAATATGAGTGTGACTGGATGTGAGTGTTCCTATTCTTCATTGGCAACTACGCTCACGCACACCTCAGAAGAATTCAATGTTGTGGGTGTGGATGGGTGTGAGTGTGGCTGGCATTTCTTTACTCACACACACCTCACACACATACACCCACACCCACATCCACACCCTAAATTCAGAGAGGACTAACCTGAAGTGGTTTGATGGAGATCCGATCAACTCAGGTCCAGTCAGATTCTGAAATTTGACGTGCTTGAATTTTCAGAATTGGAAAAATTAAATTAAATAAAATCGAAAAAATGTTATAAATTGCTTTGAGAGAAACAAAAATGAAAGAAGTCAAAGGTTAGGTTCGATCATCAACATACTGTAATTTTGGCAACAAGGCACCTAAAAATACTGTGCAACAGTACTCAGTTGAGTATTTCATCAGTACCTTCAAGAACCAATTTACTGAACATTTTGTAACAGGGTACCCGATAATGTACTTTAGTACCCAACAGATCCTCGGACATACTAGTAGCAGGGTACTTTCTCGGGTACCCTTAAATCAGTACATTCACTAGGGGAGGCATCAACTCGCACATATATGAAGAGAAAAAAGTAGTCGCACGTCTTTAAGAATATTCTATTCTTTTTTTCAATGATTGTTCAAAAACTGACTTGTCGTTCTGATAAAAAAAATTAGAGTAGTCTATATATAATAATTTTCATGTCAGATGTGTTCATATGAATACAAGTAATTGGAATAAAGATCCCACATCTAAACGTGTTTAATTGCTTTAAAAAGAACGAGAAAATACGAGTAAAACTATGTTTTCTTAACGAATATTTCGGCGTTAATATGTGTTTTAGCCTTTTAACACGGTAGCAGTCGTGAAATTTGCGCTGAAAACAAATAAAAACACTTAATTTAACTTGTTAAACGAAATCGTTAGAACGCTGTTTTTAAATTATTTCAATATCTTATGTATTTTTGGTGAGTCATTATTAAAGATCCTCTAGGGCACGAGTCAATATGTTTTTGCATACGTCAAGTACCTTTAGTTGATTTATATATAGTAAGTGATATACATGAAGCGCATATAACAATCAAAATTTTCGCTAGGCCTATTCTAGCGGTTCTTCTAAATGATCAACTAATTAGTTTTTGACTAATCCTATATCATTCGACAGTGGAATGTTTACACTTTACCGGAAATTAAAAAGACTTTAAGATTGTCTGAATTCAGATAGGGAAGAAAGGAAGGAGACCTTTAGAATATAGTGCATCTTTATAATATCTGAAGTCAAATGTTATTAAATTGAAATAAAGGATCTTTGTTTGAAGGGCAACATATATAGTAGTATCAAACGAAGAGAAAGGATGGATTTCATCTCGTAGATATCAATAAAACGAAGTAAAATTCAATAGTGACGAAAAATAATCAACATGGGGATTACCATTAATTGATTTTTTCCTATGATAAAGATTTAATCACTCATAATATAAGATTGCTGATCTTATCAATACTACCTTTAACTAGCTGCAGAGTAATATTGCATACAAAAGAACTATATATACTTCATTAGAAATTAGCGATGGTCAAGATCAAGAAGTGTTAATATAATGCTTACCTAGTTGCTGAGTAGTTCTTGCAGTTGTCGTTGTAGTTAGCATCGAAGTTGTTGTTGAAGTGTTCGGCGCTATTCATTATCATAGAAAAATTTATGTAAACAAAGCGGATAGTTTAGGTCTGACATAGAGTGCAATGCAGAACTCGAAGCATTTAAGCTTTAGATGAAGTCTAAGCAATGTTTCAAAGCAGAAAGACGTCCTCAAACAGTTTTCTAATCGAAGTTTTTCTTTCAAAACTGATTTTTGATGGAAAACGTCTGTGTTTATCAAAGATCAAAAACCCGGTAAAATTTTCGACAATTCTATTCGATTTGACACGGTTGCATCAAATTAAATCGAATCGTATTGAGTGGAATCAAATCCATCGACACTGTTCTGCTCAAATTCATCGCTTCTGTTACGTTTTAAATACGGGTAAAAGGTTTAAATGTATTGACTGTTGTTGCAGTGCAAGATCATTATTCGAAGTATGAAGTTTGTGATTTCAACCTGTCACATAAATTGCCCACATGCCAGTGTTTTGGTCGTCTTAGACCATTAGAATACTCTGTCGTCATATCAGTAGTGTGAGTGAAAGGACTCCACAGAGATACTCGAAAGAACCGAAGAATACCGTACAGATAAATTGTTAAAAGCTTTCTTTCTTGTCCCTCTTGTCATCGGACGGTTTGAATATTGACATTCTTCTCTTAAGAAAGAAATCTCAAATGTTTGATACAAGCAGACATAGTTAAAAAATAATTACCCATACCAAGAGCATCCTCAACATGCATTCTGTTCTTATTAGTATTTTTCTAAAGAGGCTGAGTCAGCGGTGCTACAAGTTGTGAAATATAATATACATACACAGTTGCATTACTGATCATTAGTGACGTATTCATTCAATTCAATGACTAAAGCACTCTTGAGCTCTAGCGTTTTCTTCGTCATAGCTAAATGATCAATCTTCAATTTCGCAAGATTAATCATTAAAAATATGACAAAGAGAATCATGAATACGTTTTCTTTCGAACTAGATGCTAATTGCAGTTGTCTTGAAAAAAAGACTGCCGAATAAACTCAATATTCACTAGACGCAGTCGAGTATACAACAAAAACTGTGAATAAAGAGAAATGTGACACAACAGAATTGAGGTGCTATCCTGGAGATTCTAACGTATGACATGTTCTGCAGAATCGAATCGAATGATCAATTGCTCAATTTGTTGCGGTCTCCGATGTACATTAAAAAGTTCACTGCGTCTTCATGCATTGATAAATATAACTGAAACCGACTCTGTCTTTCAAATTAATGAATATAATCCATAAGAAGAGATGAAATCTTTTTTTCCAATAATTACAATTCATTTTGTCTCTGTCATGTTTTATCTACTTTTTCAAAGGTTCTTCGGCTCTTCCCCACTACTCCTACACTAACGTGAACTGCATATGTGAGGGTGTGTGAATGTTGAAGAAATAACTTTAAGAAAGATTCGGCTTTCACTTGAACCTGTAGATCACTATTTGTTCTCTTACTTGCTATCGGTGGACAGAGTTGTTGATTGAATCTGGGCACCGGATAACAAACAGGACGATTATGACATAGAGGATGATGAATACATCTTTGATTAGGTTCATCACAAAGATTGTCTGGGCTTTTACATGCAACTAGCTTAGAACAATCTGTGGATATAGCGGTACAAATGCCAGTGTTAATAGCACCTGCTATATGGAAACAGGCACATGCACTATTTAACGAACATTGATTATATTGAGGAATCCCTTGGCAGAATTGAGATTTCACTCGAACTAACGAAATACTAAATAAATAGAAGGACATGTAAAAAGAAAACAAGAATCAAACCTGTAAGGCTTAAAAAGAAGATTGTTCAACATTAGATGAATGAGAAAAAAATAGATTTTAGAACTACCTGAATAGAACGAATACGAAACAACGAATTACTGTTGAAACCATCGCTTGCTTTAAAATGAGACAGAATGGCGATAGCACCCGTCTTTATATACCATGAAGAGATAACGTTTTTCACATTCGCCAAAAGTGAAGAATCGCACCACCTGTTCTTTCGATAAATAGAAATTTGATATGGCTCCACTGCTTTCTCTAAGCACTCAACGTTTCTCCAACAAAGTAATCTTTATAGAAGAAAAAAAGCGTCGTAAAACCAATATAGAATTGCTTCTGCGATATAAGCATTTAATACGCTCGTTCCATCATTCGAAACATGAATATTGTTATTGTCAATCATCGACTTACTATGTAATGACAGCCTAGAACAATTTCAAGGACAAATTTTGTTTTTAATATTTGTACTTTTATTATAGGCAGCTTACAAAAATTTGCACCTTCATCAAATCAAAGTCACAATCTATAGGCAGCAACATGCATTTATACTTTGGACTTTGTCGTCGTTGACGGTTTGGATGCGGGTGCGGACGTGGGATATGAGTGTGTGGGCATCGGGTGTGAGTGTGGCTGAACACACCACTAACAATCACACCCACACCTAGGCATGCACCGAACCCGAACATTCGGGTTCGGGTTCGGCCTGAGAGTTCGAGTTCGGGTTTGGTCGGGTTCG